ATGTTTCTGTCCAGGAAGATGCGGTCGGCCTCGGGCGTGGTCGGACCGTTGGCGCCCTCAGCGACGATCTGCACAAACAACATGGACGACACCAGCGCCTTCATCTTTGACTGGACACGCGATATACTCGTCACATGGCAGACACACACACCAGTGAAAGAATGAAAAATGATGCAGCTAGCGAGCGACTGCGGCGAGTGGGTGACCTTGGCCTTGACGTTTGGCGCGTTTCTTTTGGTGAGCTGCTTCTCCCCGGCGGCGGGAACGAGGATGTCGCAGTCGGCCTCCAGGATGCTCCCTTCGTACGGCGTCGAGTTGGGGAAGCCCACGATGGTCCCGTTGGCCTGCAGATACACGCAGAGCTCACTTTTTTTGTTCCGTCCACGGCAAGGTGACAGGGCGGGGTCCCACACCAGTTTGTATTCCTCCAGTTCTTTGGGGTCGATGCCGTCTGGATTCCAGATGCTCCCGTCGATCTCGCCGACTCCCACGCATTTGGCTCCGTAGCGGTGAAGGTAGCGCATAGAGTGGAGACCCACGTTGCCAAAACCCTGAAGCACAAGTTTAGGCCAAAGCCAACACGCTGCAAGTGAGCCAAAATAAAATCCCCCAAATTGGTTTCTGCCTGCGTGAGTCTATTCAACAGTACCGCCTCCAAGTAGCCAAGACGGGCACATCACAAGTGGCAACACCATCACTTGGATTGCAGCATGAAAACGTTTCATGTGTCATGGGAATTGGCCTTGAAAAAAAGTCCATATCATTCGAACCCGAATGTCAAGACACCTCAGTAAACTACAAAACGCCCCTCAAAAAAAAAAAGCGTGGCTAACGGTGAGTTTGCTTGCCGTGATATTCCCGATAAAGCGGCGGGCAGCAGGCGCTACCTGAATGACGAAGGTCTTGTCGTGGAAACCGGGACACATCCCCAGCTTGCTCATGAAGGCCGCCTCGTTGATGAAGTTCTCGATGCCGTGGAAGACGCCTCTCCCGGTGGCCGAGATGCGTCCGTGGATGCCCCCCTGGCTGATGGGCTTGCCGGTCACGCAGGCGTGAGCGTTGATGTCCTGGGGCGGGTGGACGCATAAGTTCAGAGGCAGGGCGAGGCGACGCCGGCGGGTGCGCAACTCACGTTGTAGCCCATGGTGGTGGCGAAGGTGTCGGCGATCCACGACATCTCTCGCTCGCCCGTGCCCATGTCCGGAGCAGGGACGTCGATGCCGGGTCCTGCGCAGCAAAAAAACTTTCAACTTTGCCATTCCACAATTAAACTATTTGCTTTTTTTTTTTTTTCGTTTCGATTTCAATTTTGTCCCCCGAAATCCATGTCTGATTTTGAAACATTTCAAAATCCGTCACCATGTCTATGGTAATGTTCATTGCTACTGACACAAAAACAATAACAACATAAAGTGGCACTGGAAAACGAAGGCAAATGAATGGATACACTCGAGTTATCTTCTTTTTAATGTACATAATCTGTTACTGGTTGCTTGTGGGTTTTTTTTTTTTTTTTTTTTTGGGGCCCACCAATGAAGCCTTTCTTGGCAAGCTCCACAGTGAACCTCCTGGTGATCTTCTCCAACTCGTTGTCCTGGAAACAATCAACTTGAATCATCTCAACATCGAGGTCATCACGCAACACAATTAAGTGCGCACGGGTAGAAACAGGGACGACAGGATACAGACGGCCGTGTCGACACTCGGAATGGTGGAGGAGGAAGATGAAGGCTGACTTACGGAATATTTCTTGGGGTTGATCTTGACTCCCGCCTTTGCGCCACCAAAAGGAACATCTGCAAGACAGCCGCACCGGATGAGTATCATCCGACTGCAAATGTGTTTGAATTGCGTTCATGTTGTTTGGACTGACCAACCACGGCACACTTGTAGGTCATCAGCGACGCCAGCGCTTTGACCTCGTCAACAGACACGTCCATGCTGTAGCGGATCCCTGAAACGCAAATAACAACACAGGTTTTCTTCTTCTTCAAACCGATGGATGTTACGCTACCCGCTGAACCGAGTATGTGATCCCTGTAAGAATATGAGGACGACATGACGAGCGCATTTCAAAGTTCCGCTGTTAGAAGAAACTTTACATAACAATTCCGATAACTTCGTCTTGCCTGAAAGCGGACAGATCATCTTCATGTTGAATCCCGTTTGTTAATACCTGCGTTTACTTTGGGAAACTGATCAACATTTGCAGATTTTTGACGTCCGTTACAAGGTAAAACTAGGAATTGAAACTTCGGCAATTTATGGAGAAACTTTGGTCTCTTACTACCACGAGGGTTCTTTGACTAATGTGTGATTGACATGTAGCTGTCCGTCAAGCGTCGTGTACTCGTGCACACGACCTAGTAGGCCTTCCTTGGCATCAATCGGTAGCCAAGAAGAAGGTCTGACTTGCCAAAGGGCTGGTTTGGTGAGGGGGACCTCACTCACACTCATTGTTCTGCGGCTTTGGTTTCGTCACTAAAACAATACCAAAAAAGATTTCGCGTTGATCGCTTTTTGTCCCGTTCCTGTAGAATATTGGACAGAATATTAGATAGCTGCAGGACCAACGGCATAACAGTGTACGAAGCTGAGTTGTTTTCAGATGTGCTGCAAAAAGGCTTCCCTGGTCCTCCCTCCGCCAGCCAGACCTGAATGTTGACATTCCTGGTCTGGGCGGGGCTTCCGCGCTTTACTTGAAGCCAGCGTCGCCCATTCGGGGTTCGCGTTGCTCGCGGACAGAGGAAGGGGTTCCCGGCCGCCCCGCCCCGCCCACGCCACACCCCCATCCCCCCCCGCCCGGGGTCTAACCTCCCTTGCAGGGCATCCTGTGCTGGCTGTGCTGAGCGCGGACGCCCTCGATCACCTCCCATTCGCCGCTGTCCCTCTTGATGGGGAAGCTGATGCTGAGGACGTGGTTGCACGGCTTGATGATCTTGAGGATCCCGCGCACGCGCTTCCTCTTGTTGTCGGCGCTTTCGCGCGTCTTCAATTCCTCCACCAGTTTGTCTTCCACGATGGCGGCGCCACGGTCGAAGAAGCCCTCCACCATGCCGAAGAAGTTGGGGTCGTCGTCGCCCGGCTCCGCGGCGGCCCGCTGCGGGTAGCC